AACTGCATATAAAGTGACTCACTTGTGTGTTACATCATGTGGTGGATGGAAACAAACTGGACATTCATTTTTAGGAAAATGCCAGAGACTTTAAAAGTCTCTAGTGCTGTGTGTGTTTTACTTGCTCATTCATGAAATCATTGTTGGACAGAGCTGGGAATTGTACTGTGCTCGAGTTGAAATTTCACTTCTAATCAAACCCTGACATGTTACCTCTGTACAGGACTGATGTCCAGATGACCTACAACACAACAAACTGAAGCCAACCCAGGGTCTTGTTAAGTTAGAATCAAAACCAAATGTACGTGAAAGGATTTACACATCACTTCCTTAAACTTGGTGACATATTACTTCTGTTGACAGATCAATAATGAAGAGATCTCCACATTTTAATGCCATCTATGTTCAGCTTTCAGGTACAGCTCTGGTCCGTCTCCATTTCCCAGTTGTGTTTTACAGTCTCTTTCTATATTTTTGTATAACTGCCACTACACTTATGTGTCAGTTTTCGCCCCAGCTTTTGTTTGGACACAGGAGAGAAACCCTCTTTGTCTAGCAGGCTTAGAAATCTGACTTCTTTCCCTAATGGTTTCCAGAATTTGGAAACAAAAATGTTTCCAGTGTTTCACTGCAGCAGCCAAGCATACGCTTCTGAATTCAATTCCAATACCAGTATTGGAAATGCTTCCCATACAGTCTTACAGCCCTGCCACCTACCGTTCTGCATTTTCTTCTTCAGGATGGCGAAGTCATGACTCAACCTACTCTGACTCTGACTCTGGCTTACCTTGATCATCTTACCCTAACCAATCTTGGCCTTCAGAATTGGCACCGGGAAAGAAAAATGTTATCGGACCACCTCTATTAAAAATCCAGACAAACACAAGGACAGTTTTAGTATTTATGATATGAATCTTAAAATGGCTGTAAACACTTTAAAAAACAAAAAAATGTGTTAATCAATTGACACTCACGCCCATGGAGTGAGTCAGTGTTTTATGATCAATTTCTCCATGTAGAGTAAAAAGCTCACATCAATAAATTGACAGAAATGCTTTTTCAGTAGGCAAACTACTTTGACTAAGTCGACAAGTAAATCAGCGTCTTCCTCCTCACTGCAAAAGACCAAAGTCTTTATTATGCTGCCATGGAGTTTCCTCTCAGTATAATAAAAGTCCCCTAAACCTGTACTTAATTTTTGGTTTGGTTCAGGACCAGTGGTGATGTAAAGGTTGGTCACGTAGGCTTGTTTCTGACAGGAGGATCATGATCCCGCCCTATATTAAGCCCCACAAGATTGAAAAACTAGAGGAGGGGGAGGAGAAGTTAAAGAAAAAGGGCAAACATACCCAGTTGACCTTCCCTTAACAAACAAAAGATAAAAAGAAGAAACTAATGAGTCCTGCCTTTGATAGTAGTCCAGACTCTGTTGAACTTTAAAGTCAGATAAAACAGTGAGTGTCAGTTTTTCAAAATGCACTCTGTTTTGGAAGTAAACCTTTCAAATGAACTTGAAGCCCAGCTATGACTCAAGAGTGAAATGTTTGGATTCAAAGAAGCTTCAAGTCAAATGTTTTCCATGTATCAATCTGTTTAAATCATAGTTCACCCCGTTTATGATTCTCTGTTGGTAATATCTACCAACACCCTTCATACACTTCATAAGATCTCTAAGGACTTGCATCATAATCATCTTCATCAATCACATTGTCACCCTTGTCCTCATTATCATTATCCTCCTCATCGCCCCAATGTAATCATCTTAAGCGCATTCTCTGAGACTCACATCATCAGCCACATCATCTTCTTCATTATCCCTAATAGCCAACTATGTCTCAGGCATCCACATTGTCCCATTAAGATAATTAAAAACATTATTATTTGTGAATAATTATCATGTGTACAGCAGATGGAGAACAACATGAGTGAGTTGCATGTTTGCCTGCGTGTGTTCTTTGTGTGGGTGTGGTATAGAGGCATATATGCAAGCATGTGCATGCACAACAAGCACATCATCACTCCAGGCTAAAGATGTTTTATTGTATACTGGGTTTGTTAACATGTTACTAATTAGTATAAATGAAAAGCGGCTTATACCCAGAGTATGCTTTTTTGATTCTTCTGTAGAATGAAAAACATGACTAACCTATAGCAAAACAACTGCTTTTTTGTTGGTTTGTTGACTTGTTTCTGTAGTTTTAAACCATATGTTAAGGATCTAATGCCTAACATTTAGGAGGATCTACTGGGAGAAATTGAATCCATATTTTCATTAGTGTATAATCACTTACAAAATACGAATTGTTGTGTTTTTGTTACCTTTGAATGAGCCGAGAGAGCAGGTCTTCTTATACAGAGTCTGCCATGTTGAACTGCCATGTTTCTACAGTGGCCCAGAATGGACAAACCTGGCTCAGGAAAGGGCCTTTTGTGTTTTTCAGGGCCACCGTAGTTTCTCCTAATTGGAAGGCTGATGTGTATTCATATGGTTGCAATCTGCAGTTTCAACACTAGATGCCACTGAATCCTATACACAAATATTCCACTGCAATGAGTACATATATTTGTTCACCCATTTGTTTGCTTACGTACTAATTGATTTATTGCCTCTTTCTTTCATTTACTCATTAAATGTCTTTTTATATGTAGTTTTCTGCTTCATCCATTCATGTAATCATTTACTCAATGTAGCCATTAATCCTTTAAATCGGCTCATTCATTAATTCACAGAAAAGAAGAAGAAGAATAGCAATTAATTTGCAGCTTACCCAGTCCAGACTGCAAAACTCACAGGAAGAGTAGTTATATGTTAAAGCAACAGATGAACATACATGTAATACAAAAAATCAACAAGCAGCAGTACAAAAAATAAAAAATAAAATAAAATACCTAATTCCTGATTAATTAACAGTTTTCAAACTAATTAATTAGTCAAGTTTCCTATTATGTTAAGGTTTTTTCAGGTATACAACCAGGTCTAAAACCATTACCAGATCTAAAATTCAGACAGAACTGATCTTCCATTCATAGAAATGATTTTGTCCTGCCAGCTCTCACTGCTGCATCCACCTAAAAGCATTAGTACACATTAGTAACCTACACAGCTGGAAGAAGCAGCATCCACTATTTCACACTGAGAAAATGGATTATATCAGCTTCATTTTAACAATCGTGCATAGAAATGTGAATGTTGCCACGGCGACAGCTCTGTTTTCAAGAATATTTACAACATGCAGCCTGGAAATATTTGTCCCTAGTGCTCTCTCTCTCTGGCATGTGAGCCAGCATGCGCGTGCACACACACACTTCTTTTTTCCCCTTCTTGAAAAAGTGAATCATGGCAGAGGATTATGAATATGGCTAAAGCACAAACTGGCTGAGAGTGGAGCCTCTGGCTCAGCCAGTCACTGCAGAATCTACAGTGAAGGAAACTGGACCATGAAATCAAACTTTTCTTTACTCAGACATCAATCTCACTCCATCCACACTCCTGAGACACATCCATGGTCAAGTTCTGCTGTTTTCCAAACATCAATTTCTCCAACTTCTTTTGAGTCAAAACTGATTCCTACAAGATCATATTTCGATTCATCTCATAATTAGGAAGTGGATTTAATTGCAAAGCGGTTACACTATTTTAGCCACAAGCAGCCAAAGTGTTGTTTAATTCAAAATGTCAGACTGACAATTAAGCTCCGTGGGGCCACATTAGCTAAAGAGACCCCATAATTATTTGACTGGGCCCAGACAATGCTGCTTTTGTAACATGGAGGTCCTTGTGGTGATCATAGGTCAATATATCCACACACACTGACACACATAGCTGCAAATGTCAATCTGGATTCCAGCACACTGACGAAAGCAGTGATGGCATATTATCCCGTCTCCAGGCCAGAATGAAAACTAATGAAAAAAAATAAAATGAAGCTCTCAGACATAATTGACAATGACCTTCATCTTTGACAAGCACCTTCCAACATACACGTTCAAAAATCAGTAGCATTACATCATCTTTACTACCTTAATTATGCCGTGCTACTCATTGCACAGCCTGTCTGTCAATGTGCACTTTGAGGTTTTGCCCGTTTCCAATTGCAATGGAAAATCTGCAGTTTTTTTCAGCACTAATTGGGAACATGTTGAAGTGTCCTGATTGATCCATTCATCACAGGAAAAGAAAATCTAGATTTAAGCTGTGAAAACAGTCTGCAAAGACAGCAGCACACTGCACTGGGGCTCTGAGAAACATATCAGTCAAGATATAATTGAAACCATCATAGAGCACAGAAGCCAGCAGGTATCTCCCTCATAACCTCTGATGTCATGAAGTTCATCTAAAAGCGGAGAGTTTGGGGGAAGCCATGTTTCAATGTCCACACAGTTACCACCCTACTTGCAGTATAAACAGTGTTGTCTATAGTCATGTTGGACCCAGTCCAATCCAACATAAAGCGTCCCATGGGATTTACTGATCTTATCAAATGGGTTTAACGCAAATATGCCATCAATACACAGACTATAAATCCCTAAAGACATGGTCTTTACTACAAAGGCACTTAGATTATCATCTACAATGTGAGTAAAGAGCCAAAATGATTTGCAGTGAAAGAGGAATATTGCTCTAATATTGCTATAACAATATACTGTAGGGACTTAAAACGTGTCTGTGCTTCTAAATATTGAGTTAATAAAGAACCTGGCTTGCCTTTCTAAATGTTTTGTAAGCTACAACATCACTATTTCAACATTATTATTAGTTCATCATGCTCACCACAACATTCACTCATTCTCCCCTTAATAATATACCAATCTTGTTGTAATTATGCTGATTAAGCACATTTCTAAAAGTAATATCATCCTGAGCCTTAGTGTAATACATTTAGTACCAGAGCAGAACAGTTTTACTATTCATATTCAGCACATGACAACTCATGAGCCAGCAGAAAAAATAACAACACACTGTCCAGCAAAAAGAAAATCAACAGAAAGAGTACACATACCATCCAGCAGCTGATAGGCAGAGGAGCGACGGCAGCAGAACCAGAGAACTAGTAGAAATAATCCAAAGACCCAGGGAGGAATGCTGTATAAAGACAGAAGTGAAGAGTTGTGAAACTGACTAAATGCTGACTTAAAACAACTTCTTCATAGAAAAAAACAGTGCATTTCATTTACCGTGAAGTCATCTTCAATGATGGTAAGCTTAGATCCAAACTGAAGTTGTCCTGTTCATATGTGATAGCCCTGGTATGAGAGACAGAGATGGAGCCCACTCTGCCTCTCTCTCAGTTACTCCAAACTAAAAGCCTCTCACTCTCCTCCTCCTCTCTTGCTCTCACTCTCGCTCTCTCTCTCTCTCCCTCCAAGATCCCCAGTCAAACAAAGGCAGCTTCAGTGCATCAGACTCGAGGGGCCCTTGCAAAACTGAAACCCGACTCCCTGTGTTGCTCTACGGCCCACCGCTTTCTAATCCAGCCCTCCCCTCAGACATCACAACTCCAAATACAAATTAACACACTCCAGTTAAATCCTCCTCCCCCTGCTCCGCCTGCGTCTCCTCACAAGTGTGGTTTCTCTCACTTTCCCTGCACTTTAAAGCACTTTTCTTGTGTGACCTTGGGAGGAGATGCCTCAGGAGCAGCAGCATCAAATCCAAAACTTTCTTTAAAGTATGAGGACAAGAAGTTACCATTGGATCAAAGTAAATATTCAAACTGCTAAAATAAGAAAGCTCTTCTTATCTCTGGCATTACAAGAATGTGTTTTCTTTGTGTCAATGAAAACCACCATGAGACTCTAACAACCTCCAACTAAAAAAATGCCAATGCCAAGTCAAATCTGTCACTCATTAAATATTTATCAAAGAAATCAATTCAGTCAATGTAAGCCTTGCATTTTTAGTGGTTGTTCCAAATTATTTCTGATTTATTTTTTTTCTTATTCATCCATCAATGTTCTGGGGTTGTGGTGGCAGCAAGAAGCAAGCTAGATCAGGCTTCCCTCTACTCAAGAATGTCTGCTAGTTCCTTTTGGAGGATATTGAGGCATTCCGGCCAAATTGGTAATTTCATCCTAGTATGTTGTGGGTCTTTCCTGGGGTCTCCCGGTTGGACAGGTCCACAGAGAGGGATCCAGGAGGCAAGCTGATCAGATGCCAAAATCTCTGAACTGGCTCATTTAAAACGTGCATCGGTTCAACTCGAAGGCTCCTTCTAGATATCGAAGTTCCTAACGCTGTCCTTGAAGATGATCCCTAAATTAATTTCGGCTTGCTTAGTGATCTCATGCTTTTGGTCACTACCCAGATTCATGATGGGTTTGGACCATAGAAATTGGTAAGCTATGCCTTCAGGCTCACTTCAATCTTCAACAGGATAGTCCGGTGAAATGCTCAGATCATAGTCAATGCCACTCCAATCCACTTGTTCATCTCAAACTCAGGTAAGTTTTACCTGTTCCACATTAAAACAACCTAAGGTGCTTGACCTCACAACCAACTGAATGTGGGATGGTGGTCACAGTTGGATGCAACAAACCGAACATCGTCAGCAAAGAGATATAATCCTGAGACAAAAAAAAAGAAAAAGAAAAAATTATTTTTATTAGAAATTCAACACAACAATAGTAATGAATAAATGCACTTCTGAATAGGCTAAACTGTGTAAGGACATACCTAGATATTTTTCAGTCCAGTGTGTATCAGTCAGATTTAAAGTATGGTGAAGTTAAACATGTCGGCTGCTGATGATGCCATCACTGATTCATCCTCCACAATGTCTGGACTCAAGAGCACTGGTGCAGTGGTGCCAAATGGAATCTGCAAACAAACATCCACCAGTCTAGCTGCAGGAGCCAGTGTGGTAGAGGGGAGGACAGATAAAGATGTGTTCAGACCTTGTCTCTGACAGCTCAGACAGATAAGAGCCATCATGGCCTGTATGATGCTGTTAGAGAGGCTGCATCAGTGATAAGCCGTCTTCACTTTACAGACCTCGCACGCAGACTGACCAGTGCTGTTGTCAGGCGACATTCCTCCTAGAATTGTTGCAAGTCTGTCTAATGTTGTATGTAGCTAATGAGCCTTAAATATTTAAAGTCACCTAAAGTCAGACATTTGTCATAGCCTCATTTTCACAGCCTTAATATTGAGTTGGGATATAAAGAAGTGACAGTCATGGAGGATATGGCAACCTGTTTTGAAGGTTTATGGGATTTCTAGGTATTGAAATAGTTGACCTTCACTAGCCATGGGGGTGCTAAAATGTAAAATGTATTCTGTCCTTTCAGGAACCGTATATGTTTTTTTGGGAGGAATTCTGAGATCAAACAGAATCATGTTTTTTAAATCACAGAATCTCAGGTCTTGATGAGTGTGGAGAGGCATAGCTAAATCTCTATTTACAGCATAATATTTACAGTAGACAGCTTAAACTACAAAATCTCATTCAATTTGGTCTTATCAGACGCTGTTACACCAGTAACAAATAAGGGTTAGGTTAAGTGCTTCCTGAAGTAATCTGTTTAGTTCAAAGTCTTTACAGCGCAACATGGAAGGAAATAGATGCAGTCTGAGTGAGGAAATTCATACATTAGATGAATCAGCATTTTTGTTTCAAAAATCATACTTGAAGCACTTGGTGGAGGTGTAAAGAATGTATGATTATTTGATTTAAGTTAGTGTTATGTAGTGTTTTTGCTCTGTACTGTCAAGAAATCACACCTCAAACACTGACATCGTCCTCTAGCTTTCGGACCTACCCTAACCTAACCTTAATTAGCCCTTTTAGTAACTCAAACCTAACCACACCTAAAACATGAATGCAAATTCCAGTCTCTGCTTTGAAAGTCATTTGCTGTGAAAGCACAACCATCCATCCCGAACAAAGACTATAAGAAAGTCACACTTACTGCATTGGAACATTAAGTTGTAAACATAATACAGGCAGTGAGTATGTTTCCTCTAAAGTATACTAGCCAGTGCGAATTAGTTGGATATAAACTGAAAGGTTCCACATGACAACTGAAACAAAAAGTGATGAATCATCAATTTATAAATACATGGGGAAGGCTTACCTTTCTTTAATTGATGTTTGTTTTTAGCAAAACCTCAGCTGAAACAAATATATTTTGTGGGTTGCAAAGATTACTCTACGCCCCCCTCTCTCTCTGAGATCTCCATAGTAGTCTGTGTATTTGGAGATAAACAAAGTAGAAAGCCCACTCTTTGAGAGAGGAGAGACAAGGAGACAAAGAGCAACAGACTGTTTCTATGCAAAGAAAACAGTTACTTAGAGAAAGCGGGGGGGTGAGAGCGAGGGATTTCAGCCTGTGGGTGGCTGCACATTAAAAAAGGGGTCTAGTCCGAGGTCTTGGGTATGAGTCAGTAAGATACCAGATAGTCATCGCTCTTAAGCTGCCGGTTTTGAGAAACCAGGCTGAGCTGCCCCAGCTGACATCAAAACACGCCAAAGAACAAAAAGAAAACACATCTGCTAGCAGTGACTGGCTTTGAGTCTGAAAGGGGGGCATTTTTTGGGGGGGAATTTCCATGTTGTGAACCTAAGCGGTTTGTGGTTGTAATAGACTGCGGTGCTGCAGAAATACATCCAGAGATGCAGTGGACAACAAAACCACTAATAGTTTAATTCAATAAATTCAAAGTAAAAATAATAGATTGCAATATGAAACTGTTTGGGAGAAGCACAAGTTAAAAGTTGGACATGTCAATCCTGGATTTGCAACTTCAATTTATGTAGAGAGATTTGATAACAGGACATAAAAGACAAGTTTTGTAGAATAAAGCAGGAGCCAGGTAGAGCTGATAAATGTAGAGTAGAGTAAGAGGAAGATGAAATAGGGCCCCAAAATGTCAACTTTAGTGTAGATAAGCAGTTTTCTGCTGCTCATATTTCAACTATTTCTTATCACAGAATCCAGGATTCCTCACAGCACCTCTGACCCACTGTAGGTGTCAATTAATCCCCAGACAACAGTGAGAGGAACAGTGATAAATCTTGTGTGAGGAGGATGAGCAGATTGGGTTTCAATAAAGTGGGTTTATACGTACATCAATTCACAGCTAGTGTTTGGATCATTCCAGAATCATCAGTTGAAACATTGAGCTGATCCCCACCACACTGTCATCCTCACATTCCCATCTATCATCCTCACATTCCCATCAACTTCATACATTTTCTGACCTGCCTGAAAGTGGAGGTGGCAGAAAACTCAAGTAGTTAGGTGCTCATGTATGCAATGTATACCTATATAGTGTTATATAGAAGCAATTTCAAAAACTGAAAATAAGTGTTACAGCTATATTGCTTGCCCTGAATGATATGATGGTTCCTAAATTTATTCATCTTCATTAATGATCAATCACAGTTTAAAGAGTTTGAGTTTTATATCTCAATGTCTCATGTTTCTCAACAGGTTAGATTATGCAGGTTTGATTTGGCCGTTGCCAGGTAGCACAAACCAAAAAGTCTCACAAAGATGCAAGAGTTATGAGACTGCAGCAGATCTGAACTCATACGAATCTGTGCCAAAGGCTGATACAACCAATTTCCGGCTATAGGCCATTATGCATACAGGACACACAATGCATCGTTGCACGTAGGCAAAGTAAATGGGTTACCGGTAAAGCAGTTTTATACAGTAATTCACATCAGTATGGATTATTGTTGTGAATGGTGATAGTGGCTGCATGACCAGAACTCTGCTATGGCATGGTCAGTTTTTTGGTAATGCAGTACTGAAAAAGAAACAACATTACGCATAATCACATGGCTCCGAATCAGCTCAGCACCATTACGTTAGCAAAAAAAACAAGAACAACCTTGAACACTGAAGCTGAAAATATTTTAACTTACTGAGAAACAAACAGGCTTCTTTGTGTTTTTATCCACTCATCTCCCCCTCCTTCCTTTTGCTTCTCACTTTCGCTCCCTTCACACGCTCCTTATGACTGACACAGGCTCCCCAGCCCTCAGGTTTGGGAGTAGGTTCGAGGGTAGGGGTCTGCGGCGTTATTAAGCTTCTTCACAAAGCCGGGGGCGTGTTGTGGGTTCAAAAGGTCACACTGGGTGTATGAGGGTGCGATGATGGTAGAGCTGCAGTATGTGGTTGTGTGTGTCCCAGGTCACACAGAAAATAACAAGTGCTTCTGGTGGGTTTTTTTTTTTAAGCTGAAATTCAAACGTAATGTTAACAAAAGGGGCTAGAGCCCTGCTAATGAAAACAAGTAAGGGGGCCATTATTCAGTCTCAGAGTGATTGGCAGGGACATGAGCTGTGAGGTCAGGTACTTTTTGAAAGTGAAAGATGAGCTTTCAATAAATGGATTTATACCCTGAATAGCCTATAGAGACTAAATGGACCTATATATTCATTTATGATTGGAAAGAAACGTTTTGATCCA